TTCAAATTCTATTTTCAGTGACTAAAGAAGAAAAGCTTATCTCATGAATCAAAGTAGGAATTCACAACAGCTTAAGGTGAAGAAATAATCTCTATTTAGCTCCACTTCTTTCCCCAATTTATGAAACAACCTATATACATAAAAACACCCTTGGRTTATTTACCCCCTCAAAGACAGTGTGCTTGAGAAAGAAAAATATTTGCTTAATTATTGACTTTGCAAGTRTATTAATAGCCTTTTTGCTAATGTGGTGATTATCTTGTTTAAACAACAAAGCCTTCAGCATTGTCTCTCTTATTACTGAAGATGGATGATATACAATATTAAGCATTGGCATCGGACCAGTAGGACCAGTAAGACCCGTACATCTTGGATGCTAGAGAATTAATCACCTCCTCAGTTCAAAATTTAGAGGCTGGGAGTGTGGCTCAGCGGCAGTGCACTTGCCCAGCCTGTGAGGCCCAGGGTTCCATTCCTAGCACAAAAACAACGAAAATGTAGGTGACTCTCAATGTGGGATATTCCTATGTATACAGAAGAATGGGAATGGGCACATTCCCAAATACAATCCAGAAAATAAGGAACATGGCTGTTTGGCCAACTCACCCTCACTACTCTACAGGTCCAAAATCCCAATAATTCTTGTTCATGTTCACTCTATTGCCAGTAGCCTACTACCTTAGGGACACAGAGGGGAATTACAACCAAAGAATATTGTTGCTACTGGCAAACAACATGGCTGGTCAAGGAGGTATGTTGAACACATTTATRAAATTGATTTAATGCTAATTTTTTAAATCAAAAGTTTAAGTGTTTAAGTCAGGGAGAAGTAAATTGAGACTATTCTTTTATAGTACTAGAGTTTAAAAACTAATATCAAACACCTCATATCACCTGTAGGATAAAGCTCAATGAAAGACTCAAATCAGAAAATTTGGCAATGTGAATTTTGATGCTTGGTGAGCCTCAGACCAAAAGGATTTCCTGTGGTAAAACAGCCACAGATCTAATGGTTTCAGCTTGTCCTCTGCTACCCTCTTTCAGGCACATGTCCTATAATGCATTTCAACAATAGCCTCCAATTTTCCCACCGTTTACTTCTCATGTTTTGTGATCTTCCTCAAAGCAGATCTTTYCTTTTTCAAGGGAGGCAACTGGAAGAGAGTACTATATCCACACAATTTACAGTCACTGCTTGTTGAGGGTTTAGAAAGAGAAGCCTATTCTGTCATCAGACCACTGTATTCTTCGTTCTGAGCACAATCTTAAAAACTTAAGGGTCAACAGGAGTGCCAACTCTATCTCCAGATGTAGGTGATTTAAAAAAAAAAAAAACAAAACAAACAAACAAAAAAAAACCTTACAAGACCCAGAGGCACTAATCAATCTCCAGTACCTCAAAATTGGGCAGGGAGACATTAATGTTCAACACATCATTTCTAAGCAATCTAAAAAAGCTGTCCTGAGTCCTCATGTGTTCCCACGGGGCAAAGCTCATGAGCAAACAGGACTACAAGTTCTGGGTATGGATCTTCATAGTTGCCCAGGTGGAAGGGAAGATTTGGTGTCTTATTCTCGGGCTATATACTGTAYTACTGACTTTCTTCCTATTTATACAGTTTGGAACTCAAGACAAAAAAAAAAAAAAAAAATCAACATTAATAGCACCCAGACTGTAACCTTTCTACAGTAATGAAAAATACCTACAGATATTGAATAGCCTGCCCATGCCTAATGCATCAATATGGGAACATAAACTTCTGACTTCGATAGATCATGTGAGATATACAGCAGGATGTGCCTGAGAATTACTTGTACATATTTTGACTTAAAAACTGTCCTTCCTGGCTAGGGACAGAGGTACATGTAACCCTAGCTACAAGGGAGACTCAGGAGGGAATCACAAGTTCAAGGCCAACCTGGGCAACTTTAGCAAGATCCCATCTCAGTATAAAAAATAAAAAGGGCTGGGAAGATGTAGCTAAGTAGTAATGTGCCCTTGTTTTCAATCCTCAGTAAGACAAAAAAAAAAAAAAAAGAGTATCCCTCCTGTGAAAGAAACAAACATCCAAAGTCATTGTGTCAGCAAGTCTAATTCTTTAACCACCATTTGTCACTTCTGTAATAAAGTGGCTTACAATTCAACAGTCCCTTGCACCAACTACCAAATGTTGTTYGGCCATCATTTCATCACTTACTTGCACAGCATCATTTTATGATACACTGATTTGTAAATTTGAGCAACTGATGATGAAAAATTCTGTACCACTTATTCCACTTTTAAAAAGGAAAACAATAACCAATAGATAAATTGAGATGTTCTGATTCATTACTACTTGGACAGCTTAAATTGCTGGGCCCTACCCACAGAAATTCTGATYCAGGAATCTGAGTATGGACTGAAGAGGTTTTTGGGGTTTGTTCTTTGATGCTAGGGACTGAACCAGGGCCTCTTACATGCTAAGCATGTCCCCTCAGGAGCTCTATCACTGACCTATACCACCAGCCCCAAGAGAATTTTTTTAAGCAAGCTCCCAGTTGTTGCCACTGTTGCTAGTCTTAGGACACACTGGAGAAATGAATCTTTGACATAATTAAGATATTATGACTTGAAAGCTAGTATATAGAGACCCTGGTAAATCTGCATAAATTCAAGAAAATGCATTCTGAAATATTCATCATACATTTTTTAAAAATCCAGGTTGGGGTAGGGGCACAGGGGGAATAGCTCAGTGGAAAAGTACAAAAGGCCCTAGGTTCAGGCAACATCCACCCCAAGATCCGTATTAACTTGATCACCATGTTAATCTTGAAAATGTCTGGTTTCATTTTGCTTTGGCAAAATATCTTAAAACAAAGCTTTTTAAATCTTTAAAATATTTTTTAGTTTTAGGCAGACTCAATATTTTTATTTGGTGCTGAAGATAGCACCCAGTGCCTCATGCATGCTAGGTGAATACTCTACCACTGAGCCACAACTCCAGCCCCAAGCTTTTTAAATTTTATTGCTCATATTGAACACCTTTGAGGTGATAAAAGACTGATTCTAATTCAGATCTGGCACGAGGCCCAAAGTTCTACATTTCTAACAAACTCCCAGGTAAAGGTTTTACGACATATTCCTGGTAGGCCCAGAGGATTACTGACCTCAATTTTCAAAACACACTATACTTAGTGACTTTTTCTAGTAAAACTTGTAATGTTGAGTTAATGCCCAAGTTGTAAGCTACAAAGGTGGTTTTAAGGGAAAGCATACATGAAGATAGTAAAGCGCTACCCAACCACTGCGACTGTCAAGGTTTACCTAGGTGACTACATGAGGCCCCAGGCAGTTTAGGTCCAAATATACTGAAATACAAGTTTATAAAGTGCTGCTTCTTTCTTTAAAATGGTCATAGAAAAAAAAAAAACTATTTTACTATGTCTGAAACAAGTGCATTATTTTGAGTTCACTTGAGTTCAACCTCTTCATATTTTTTCAACTCCTACAACTTGAGTCTGCCTAGTGAATTCATTCACCCACAGAAATACTTCATAAGAAAAAGTGTCAAGTATTAAGGACTGTAGGCTTTTCAGCACGGGAGTTAATGAACATTATGTGAACTAAGGACTTGCAAATCTCTAAAGGGAAAAACAAAATTGACATGGCTTTTTAAAATACTGTATAAATATGGAATCCAACACCATATAATAGGATTCTATTTAAGAAAATTTGAAACCTACCAACAAATCAGTAGATTAATTGGTTGTGTGTCAAATACTTATATTGACCCACTTATTCCTTTTTGCTATTACTTTTTACCTCTTAACTAGATACTAGAATTTTATCAATACATTTAACTAGACACTTTAGAATCTCRTAAGAGAAAAAATATTTAGATGTCCATGAATACAACTATTAATTATGATTGATTAGTGCAGAATTCCTAATAATTTTAATTCGTCATAATAAACGCACATAAGCATTGCTGTAACATTATGCATATTTAAAAATAAAGCTTGTTATTGGAACATTTTCCATTCTTTTTAAGATTAACATTTATATTGGGAGTAGAAAATAACAATTGCATTTTATTTAGTAACAGACATTACCTTCCCAACAGAAATTATATACACAGCCTTACTCATTAAGTAAATGAAATATTCTAGATAATAGATTGCTGAAACACATCACTATGTCATTACTATGTCAACACTGGCTCTTCTGGGTTTACTTCAGGCACCATCCTACCAGTATGGGATGGGCTTGTTTTCCAATTTTCAGTCTATCTTCACAGTTAGTTCTTTAAGACAGAGGGGTAATTTGAACTTAGTTACCATTTTTCCTTCCCTTAAATAGCAAATAAAAATGTGATTTGATTTCATTCTAGATGAACATGCAACAGTGGTATCTACATTCACTGATGAAATAATTATCGCCTGTATTGGCAAAACTGCAATGCTAAATACAGGCATTATTAGTTTTCATGCTTTTCCCAAGTCCATTTTTCTTCATATTAATTTATTTTATATTTGAGTCTGCAAGCTTTCAAGGACTAGTATTTAATTCAGTCTATATTTCCACTCTTTTAACTCCTCCCAATTTTTCTTTCTCTGAAAAACATGACTTTAGTGACCTCTATAGTTTTCTTTCAGCCATTTTTTCCCCCCAATTATTTTTTTCTAAAATGAGGTCACAACTCTTATTTAAGAATCCAATTTTGTTTTAGAAGTCAATTTAGTTTGGGGAACATGTAATAAATCCAAACTACTCTATAATTTACCATAAAAACTGTTTTGTTTGATGTTAGCATCAGCAATCCCATATTTCACAAAATTATGCAGTATGAGTAATACTAATCAATCAGAATTTTCAATTATATATGAACAGATGAAAATATCTAATAGAAATATGAGAGGAAGCAATCTAAGTATAGGGAAAGAGAGAATGTCCTAAGGGAAAAAAAGTGGAAAATTAAGTGAGAAAAAAAACTTTTAATGTAAAGAAAAGACCACTTTGAGGATTATAAAAGTTATATTTATTCACGATGCTACATTTATTGCATTCCCTTAGAAAAATGAGGAACTGTTTATGTACCCAATTTGCACATATAAAACTTTATACAAATTATGTGTAGCACATAAAGGCCTCTGGTACAGCTAAAATCCTGACACTACCATTTGGGTATWCCTGCTTCAGGGTCTCCAGTTTATCAAGTCTGTTCCATAGAAAATAAAAACTGGAATTATACTCAGTCTTGCTGCTAACCCTTAGAAATTATTTTAAAATATAATAAAATAAAATTTTCATTTACTCTAAAASTCAAAAAATACTATAAACTGGGAGTGAATACACTTTGTTACCAATTTTAACAACATGACAAATTCACACCTTATTGTAGTTGGGCCTTTCTAAATTAAAAAAAAAAAAAAGAAAAATCACCTTAGTTCTGACATTATCTTTCTAAATTGTGGCTGTTTCAGAAAATTATTTGTCAAAATATTTACCAAATACTTAAAAAATAATAATAATAATAATATTCCTTTTACAAAATGGTACAACACCTTAAGGAACCAGAAAATACTAAATGTCTTTGGCTATACAACTAAAAGGCCATTCTTCCAACAGAATAGGGCATATTCGCTTCAGAACCAACTATAAAACCAGAAAGCATAACAGAAATATGCATAGAAATTAATGATAATTTGACTTGCCTTTTTCCCCATTCTATAATAAGCAAGGAGAATGCAATTTACATAATCTTTCCAGATGAAACTCAATAGCACTACAAAGAAAATACCCAAATTTCTGCAAAGGCAAAGTGAATTAAAACAATTACACAACCAAGTGAAGACTGAAGGGACAAATGTTATTTGCAATTTTTTTTTTTTACTTGTTTGCTTGTTTTAAAGCCTTACAAGTGTACAAATCATAGCGGATAAACAAAAAAATCACGATCTTCACAAATGGAACTATAATAGAAAAATAAATCAAATGAAACATTTATTAATAAATGAAGCCTATTTTATTACTTCAAGTGTTAACGATAAAAAAAATTTCAGCACAGCTGTTGCATTTAAAAAAGTGAAACTACATACTATATTTCTAGCTCAGTAAACAGATGAACCTGATGTCTTTGAATGACATAACAATTGAGCATTGTACAGTACATCTTATGAAGACCCGTAAATTAAAGAACTACTGGTTTAAAGTTAGTGATTATGAAACAAATATGCATTCATAGTTTCAGTTTCTTTTTTCTTCCTCGGCCATCAGGTGCTCCGTCCATTTTACGTTTCTGTGTCTACAAACAAACAGAAGGATTATTTTTCATGGCAAGACTAATACCAACATGATGGCACTTTAGTTATCACTGCTACATAGTAACAGTTAAGTACAAGAATTTTYCCCCCGAGACTATCAAGTCCCCAAATAATCATATTATTATTAAGTAGCAAAATAATTTTTTTCCCTTTATAATGCTTATCTTAACATTGCTAAGATCTCACTAGGACAATAAACCAAAAGTTAAAAGCTAAAAGCAAGGATTGTGATGCCATTGTTTTCCTAATATTTCTTAAATTATTCTAAAATTATGCCCTGTATTCCCAAAACGACTGTGCACTCTGGGCATCCATGAGACATACCTTTGCAGATCTTCAGGAGCCCCTAAATAAGATAACATCATTTTCCCTACACAGTATAGTGAAGTTTCATTTATACTTTCAAAGAATTTAACTATTATTTTAAAAAACAAAACATTAAAAAAATGAAAAAACTAACACATTAATGATAGTCAAGTAATATTCAAATACTTAAAAAAGAAAATAATGAACTTTACATGGTCTGTACACCTTCACATATTCATGAATACTTACTGAAGGCTTTGGTCCTCTTTTCTTTTTCTCTGCCTTCTCCTTTTCTTCTAGTTCCATGTTTTCTCTTTCAATTAGAGTAATTAAGGTATTACACCTCCTTTGGAGTTCCTGAGTTATAAACATAATTACATGATAAGCTTGTATTTTCCATCTATAAGTTGTCCTAATTTCAATTTTTAAACTAAGGTTATGTCTTAGTAGGATAATATAAAATCACTCATAAAAAACTGACAGTTTAAACAAAAATAAGCAAAAGAAATTTATTTTCATGTAGAGTCCATGCTGAGGATTTAAAAAAGTTATGTGATGTTTTTACATCATACTGGTGAATACTCTTCACAAATCCTTCCTACATTTAGGAACTGAAGCAGTGAAAATGAACATCTCAGAATATATGCAAATATATGCAATACTGTTAACTTTACTATGACTGAGAACTCCATGCTATTTATACCACAAAATTTTTAAAAATCAATAATGCATAATCTGAAGGTGAAAATCAGCTGGAACGTTAACATGCATAACCTTTCACTTCAAAGCATTATCAGAGTCTGGTGTGGTGGCGCACACCTATAATTCCAGAGGCTCAGGAGGCTGARGCAAGAGGATTATGAGTTCAAAGCCATCCTCAGCAAAAGCGAAGTGCTGAGCAACTCAGTGAGACCATGTCTCTAAATAAAATACAAAAATAGGCTGTGAATGTGGCTCAGTGGTCAAGTGCCCAAGTTTAATCCCTGGTACCTCCCCGCCCCCGCAAAAAAAAAAAAAAGAAAAAAAAGGCATTATTAGAATTAAAGTAGTAAAAGTAGCTCATGCTACCTTTCCCAATTTTGAAAAAAATGACCATAGAAGCCTTGTGAGTTCTACCTTTCTGTCTAGCAATCTATACATCCTCCAGAAAGGGTTTTAAGTCTAATGGAGTAGTAAACACTTCAGGAACCCTAAATCCATCTGAATCAATGGTAACAACTCCATTACTTACAGAGCAAAAGTAACTCTGTTCCTGTAATAAATTAAACTTTTACATAGACAACCACGAAACAATAATTTAAATACTATATAGAAGACAYCATACAAAGCTTAGAAATATGTGCAATAACATATAGAGATAGAAGGTAATAGCATTAAAATTSTTTCCTTTAACAGCTGTATCAACGTATTACAAATATGTGTATAAATCCTCTGGGCTTCTAGACAAGAATTATTTATCAGCAAGGGGCTATATATATCATGACTTTTGTGTGCTTTAATATGAGACATGCTAGAAAGTAATGCAGTTTTTAGACCATAGTATTATATGGTATATGACACTCTGTCTCTCATTACAGACACTATACAATCATTATTCCTAATTAATCATCAAACTKTTTCTACTTAAAAAGACACTGAAGAGCTTCCACCTAATTACATGTTTATATAGTGTTTTTTTTATCTTCAAAGTAGATCCATGTGAATTACAACATTACCCTAATTTGGGTATCACAAAATAGCAGCCCTTCTTGTTACCCTGTGAAAATTTTTTTCCATTGATCAAATATGAAAACACTGAACAGTACCCAGTGTCATGTAGAGTGGCAATATACCTCAAATACTCTGAGAAATCCTACTACATATTTAGAGTTTGCTTCTCCTAGCATGTCTCAAACCTAAGACCAGAGAACCTATTTTTACATTTTCATCATCTTGCAAAACACTAGTTAAGGTTAAAAGTTCAAAGGTGATGAAACAATGGAAGAAAMAGATCAATCCACCAAAGCTAAACTTTTCTGAATTTTAATTTTAGATTGTTAGAAATGGAGAACATTAGTCAGATACAGCCAGGCACTGGAAATAAAAACAAAACTGAGCATTAAATCAGTACTAAAAAATAGTGCCTTACTACATTCAGTCATTTAAAAATAACCCAGATTCAGTATTTTGATGTACAAATGCCTGCATGTAAAAAGTCTTTCTACAGAAATATGTCCACTTTCAAAATCAATGACATCACATTCAGAAGTTGAAACTGATGGCAACATTGCCTCCCACTTTGTACCAGATTAACATTACTATCAAAAATTAGTTCTATCATATATTACAATGTTAAAAAATGCATATTAAAGAATTAGACCAATAAACATTTTATGATGCTACATTTTTAAAATGTGGATGTGATTAGTTTTCTAAGAAAATCGTTTAACTTCTGACACTACCAAAAAATTACGACAAAAATCTATATCAACAAATTTTAAGTTACCTTAAAAGGACTTTCAGTCTAAACTCTGCTACACTACACAAAAATCCTGAGCACTCACCATTGCAGTTCTGGACTTCAGAAACCAATCAAATCTGAACTGAGGAGAATTGCGAATACACTGTCGCAATTCATCATAAACATTTTCCTTGTCAAATCCAAGCTTATGAAGCATACAAATGAGAAAACGATCCTCTTCTTCTGTATAGTTTTTTCCTTTGTTAGTACCATATGATATTCTCAGCTGATGAAAAGGTGCTTTGTACCGTCCAATCTATAAAAGATATTATATATAAAATACAAATCCTACATAATTTTATTTCAAATTCAGCTTTCCTCTAATTAGCTTGAAATATTATATCTCAAATCAAAAYTTTCTATCCAGAAAACCTCAAATGCATTATATAACTTGTGTTCTCATGCCTTTATAGTCCTTATTATTATTACAAAGAGAAATACAGACTCAGACTTCCTTACGCTACTTAAGAAGGAGTCAATCTTGGCACCTTTGACCCAGGTTAAGTCAGTCTAATACTACTCAGGTAAATTACAATAACATCTATAACGTTTGAATGCTTTACTTTAAGGAAATTTTAAATGTTAAACCTTCACTGCTTTTCCTTTTAAAAAGTTACTTTAACTTTCCTATATTATAGATAGTACAATTTTTATTAACATACAAAGTACCTTTGTATCAAGTGCTTTTTTGATACTTATTCTTCTCTGAATTCTTGCCTCTCCCCTTTCAATCTGAGCCATAATCTTTTCTATGTCCTGGAGCTCATTGCATCTTTCCCAGAACACAGCTTTAAAAGAATAAAAGTTGGTCAGATGGGATGAGTGGAGGAAGCATACATGTTAACTTGTAATTTATTTGCAAAGGACTAAGAAACTTTCCCAATTATCCCACACTTAATACTAGAAAGCAAATCACTTATAATTTTTCAATTTCCTTAAATGAAAGAAGAGATAAATGGATGATTTAAATTACCTACCAACTCTTTAAACTTCCACTCATCTAAAATTCTAAGCATACTCAGCACAGCATAACTACACATATTCAATCTGACATTTCCAACTGACCTCAAAAAACAAAAGCATACTAATACTTGAGAACTGAAAGAAAAATAATAAATTAAAAATTAAAGCACACTAAAAAAATTTTTTTAAAGCACAATTATTTTGTGTCTATTTTAGCTTTCTTGGCTATAGTTTTAGCTATAGTTAAAAAAAAGAAAAGAAAACAAAACAACAACAACAAAAAAACCAGACAATTATTTTAGGGAGGGAGACATTTTTTTGTTTCAAAAAGCACAAAGTCAGGCTAGGGTTGGGGCTCCATGGTAGAGTACTTGCCTATASCACATGTGAGTCACTGGGTTTGAGCCTCAGCACCACATAAAAATAAATAAAATAAAGGTGTCCTTCTGCAACTAAAAATATGTATTTTCTCTCTACATTTATATATACATATATGTGTGTGTGTGTGTATATGTTCATATTCTTTAAAAAAGCACAAAACAAGGCACTAAAATGGAAACTTTAGCTGATCAAAACTATTCAGAATAAGAAAACAAGAAACATCGAACAGCTCTTGCAAGACTTATAAAATATGTATTATAATAACAAAAGAATTACCAGAGTATTCAATGACTTCTTCTGGAGTTTTTCCTTCTACTTCTCTTGCTATATTTTCAATATCATCACGACCCCACTTCTCATTAGCTTTGATAAACTGGTTAAAATCTCTCTTATTCCAATTGGTAAATCCCTACATAGTAAAAGAAACAAAATATTTCATTATAGCACATTAAACATGGGAAAAATACTATTATACTTTACCTATCCTTCCAAATACTACACAAAATGTTTCTAATTGCTTAGATACCCAAGCAATAACTCAAAGTTGGAGACAGTAAAATATGCTGTATGAAAGGGGAAATTTTTGCTGTTGTAGTTTACCAAAAGGAGTAAATAACATAAGGTAAAGGAAAGCTTTTGTTAAATAGCACTCTGAAAGACCTTGAATGAATCCCATGTTTTAAAAGCAGCAAGCAGAAGTTTATAATTGAGAATAACTTGGTAGCAATGTGGAAGATTCACAGGAAAGATGGGAACACTGAAAATAAGGTGTTCAAAATTACACACACTCTACCAAGTGCAAATCTATAATCTTCTTGACCACCTCAACTAATGACAATTAAAATGTAGCATTTCCTCAGGGTTATACAAAATTACATATAAGAGGAAAGGAGGGGWAAGACAAGATAATACAAGTGGAAGTAATGATTTACAGTAGAGGGGGTAGAGAGAGAAATGGGGAGGGGAGGGGAGGGGGAATAGTAGAGAATAGGACAGACAGTAGAATACATCAGACACTAGAAAGGCAATATGTAAATCAATGGAAGGGTAACTGATGTGATACAGCAATCTGTATACGGGATAAAATTGGGAGTTCATAACCCACTTGAATCAAACTGTGAAATATGATGTATTAAGAACTATGTAATGTTTTGAACGACCAACAATAAAAAAAAAATGTAGCATTTATCCATGTTTTACCATGTTCAGCTATTCTCTCTGTATAAGAAGAAATATACTTTGTATGCCAACACGATCTCACAGGATATTTTATAAAATTAACAATTACTAACTTTTGAATCGATTGAAGACTATACCTGTGTCAGAAGCTTCTCTTTTTCCTCTAACTCTTCATCATTAAGGGGTTCAGCTTCATCAATTTTAAGTTGCTCTTCTTTCTGTGCCTGTGCTGCATTAGGAAGGTCAGGACTTCGAGGTACCTAAAAGACATTTTCCCATGCCATCAAACAATATATTTTAAAGAGCATGTGATGAATTACATTCTTAATCAACTAAATAACATTTCACAAATTCCAATCTAATCACAAGAGAAAACATACTAATACCCTGCATTTATTATATTAAAAATAAAGATTATTCATGAATAAAGTTTTTTCCTTTCCTTTTAATGAAGAACAATTCAAACATTATGTGCTAGGCCTATACAGCTAGGATACATAAATAATATTCTTTCCTACTAGGCTCAAAATAGTTTAACAAATAATAGTTAATGTTCATATATTTTATGGTTTCAGGGTGGAAGAGGACACAAAATGGAGAACTGCAATTACCTTGTACCCAATAGTTTTTCTGTAATACAGAATTTCTTTTTCCAGTAATTCAAACAAACGTGGGGGAAAGAACTGGAAATCCTGAACATTGGGTTGTTTTGGAGGTCGTGGAGCCTAAAAAAAAARAAAAGAAAAAGAAAGAAAAAAAAAAGTTGTCCATTACACTTAGTTCTCTCATTTCATAAATCATAACAGCCAAATCTCCAAGCAACTCAGTATATCTTTCAATAAAACTGAACAGACATTAATCAAATTTTAAACACACATCTTAAAAATTAATTTTAAAAAGTGTTAATTGAAATCTGAAGAGGATATTCTATAAAAAGCATACAAAGTATAATATTCAATCTTATTTTATTGYAAGAATGTTAAAAAATAATTTATATTTTCAAATTTTAAGATACTTTGATGCTATGTCAACTCACCTTGGGTGCTTTAGGTTCACTAACTCGAAGAGCTTCCCTGAAATAGGCATCAACAGCATAGTTGGCTTTTCTTTCGCGTTTGGGTGGTTCAATCCACTCTGTGAATGCAATCTAGCATGTGGGAAACGATTAAAATCATCAACTTGCATTATTAAGGGTAACAAATTATTATTGAGTGATGTTTATGAATTAAAAGATACTGAAAAAAAAATCCTGCACTTTGACAAGGGTAGGAACTATTATGTTTTGCTAAATACCACGTAATTAACACAGGACAATGTCTAGTAAACAGCACAGGTGTTCAGGAAGTGTTTCTTGCCCAAATGAATAATTCTGTTGGATGTGAGGGAAAATGCTGCAGAATGTTTGCTATGACCCAAATTAGGAGGAAAATGGAGAAACACATTTAACCTAGGAAAACTTTTTTTTTTTTTTTTTGAGAGTGAGAGAGGAGAGAGAGAGAGAGAGAGAGAGAGAGATAATTTTTAATATTTATTTTTAAGTTCTCGGCGGACACAACATCTTTGTTGGTATGTGGTGCTGAGGATCGAACCCGGGCTGCACGCATGCCAGGTGAGCGCGCTACCGCTTGAGCCACATCCCCAGCCCCATAACCTAGGAAAACTTCTAAGGATATATATGCCCAAATGTTAATAAGGAAAACTCTAGATACGCTCTAGATAGAATTATATTTTCTTTTCTATAGGTATTTTCCAATTTCTACATTAGTCAAGTATTACTTATGAAATTAAGAAATTATTCCAAAGCAAGTCTGTTTAAAAAAATCAGCTGTGACTTTTTTGACATTATTTTCATTTTCAAATATCCCAAACTACTATATTCTCTTGTTGCAAGAACATACTTCACTATAACCATATACAACTAAACTTTGTTACATAAACTTTAAAAACAGTTCAGCACTTACAAACAAAATTTTCCATAATGAAAAAAATTTAGATACATTTACATACATCTAATTAAAAAACTGTTTGAGACACAATTACAAGGTATTATATCTAGCACTTAAAAGTTCATGTTCCAGGAAAATAAAGCTTCATTACTAAATCTTTTTTTTAATTAATTTGTTGTTGTTGTTGATGGACCTTTGTTTAATTTATTTACATGTGGTTCTGAGAATCGAACCCAGTTCTGCACATGTGCCAGGCAAATGCTCTACCACTGAGCCACAACCCAAGCCCCACTAAATCTCTTTCTAAAATACCTTTTGTTTTTCTCTGTAGTCTTCTCCTTCAAAGTTATAAACACTTGATTCTGTATCCATTGTAAAGTTTCTAAGAGAGCTTTCACCCATCTTGGAGAGTTTTTCATTCATCTCTGCAGTCTAGACAAAAGAAACATCAGAATGAGAAAGGAAAAAAGCACTAGACATGCAGTCAAAATGAAAATGACTTTACCGTACACAAAAGCTGCTTTTTACAGTAATACAATAATAATCTATAAATTCACAGAACAATAGTCCCTCAAATAGTTTTGGTCTGTAACACTCATTAAAAGCATATTATTTAATTTGCATCTCACCTTCTTTGCACCTCTTTCTAAAATTCCATCAATATCTTCATCAGTGATCTCACTTTCTTTTGAGGCAAATACATGCGTTGCCCCATGTCGAATCATTTGAAGCATCTCATCTTTCCCAATTTTGTTCAGATTCTGATCCACGAGCCTCCCTGAGATAAAAGTTTGTATTGTATAAGGTTAGCCAAACAGACTTTATTTTACTGGAAACTTGAAATTCTAAATGTTAGATGTAATAAACTTGTACTTTTGTCTCAAACATCAATCATTTCTGTTTACTGGTAATTCACATCTGATCATTTTCCTATTAAACTTAAAGCCAACTTTTCAGCTTTSAAATGTTTCTAAAGCTTATGACTTATGTAATGTCACCTACTATATATTATCTCAATGATATTCTCTTTTGTGGAATAGATACACTACTTGAGAATCAAAATTACTGGGGAAGAAAAAACTCACAAATTTAAATATAAGTRAGCATTATAAACAAAAGTTTCTGATGAGCAAAAAAAGATATCATTGCAAATCCCTTAAGACAAGTTTTTCTCAGAAAAGTGAAATACAAAAAACCTTCATGAAATCAAACTTTATGTAAAAACTGAAATATGTAACATCAGTTTCTAAAAACTTCTCTATCTGAAGAATTCAAAACTCCTGAAAATTTATTTTGATCAGAGATGAAATTTAGCATTAATAAAGACCTTCAATTGGTAAGTATTGGCCAATCTGTGTAGTTCGTGTTTTCAAAAAATACAGGYATCAATATTGTGTCTTCCTTAAAAACACTAATCTAGAATGGGAATTTCGAATTTCATTTAATCAATCCAAAATAAAGTTCCATTTTTACCCTCTAATCTACTCAGTGTCTCACTCCCTCACACTAAATGTAGAACCTGAAAGTTAGAATAACACTTACCATACAAAGGGTACTCAACAAGTAGTTTTTTAGTCTTATAAAAACAAGACTCTCTGATTTTAATTTTTACTTCTTCAGTATCTCCCCAAGTTAGCAACAGTGCTTACAAAGCATAATCACTCTGCTCTATTTAATAAGTATTATGCTGAATGTTAGCTATTTTATATACACATTCTATTTAATTCTTAAAAATTCTAAGCAAGGGACTGGGGCTGTAGCTCAGTGGTAGAGCTCTTGCCTTTCAAGTGTGAGGCACTGGGTTCAATCCTCAACACCACATAAAAAATAAATAAAGATACTGTGTCCACCTATAACTAAAAAAATAATTTTAAAAAATCCTAAGCAATAGTTATTTTTATTCTCATTTAGTAGATTAAGAAACTGGCTCAGGTAATAGAAAAAAAAACAGCTAACTAGCAGATCAATATTCAGATCTCAACTTTCCTGAGCCCCAACCCATCTTCTTAATAACAAAACTAAGGTTTAATCTTTGGAATTCAAACCATCTCTACTGGGTGCTAGCTTGCCTCAACAGATAAGATTTCTCCTTTAAAAAAAACAATCGTACAATCAATCACTCATTCTATCAATCCAACTTAGTAAATTTTTAAAGTTCTRGGGCCCACCTTGTTGAATAACAATTGAATCCAGTCTGAGTTTCATCTCAGCCCTTTCTACTATTCTTTCTTCTACAGTATTATCAGTTATAAAACGGAACACTCTGACAGTCTTGGTTTGTCCAATTCTATGTGCTCGGTCCTAAGTGAAATAACATATTATTTTGAATATACTTAAAAAGTCATATAAATAATATATCAAAGTATATACTGATAAAATATTCTTAAGTAGAAGATACTTTCTAGCTTTCTATTAAAGATGTGACATGAAAAAAATAAATTTCACCAACAATATAAAGATCCTATTCTTTAAATATTACTAAATTTATAAATAGAGAAATTTGCACATTTGAAAATTTCTTTGAATACAATTTTCTGTTTAACATCTARTAAATCTACAAACCACAGTCCCACAAAGCATTTCTTATTTGTAACAATTATCAAATCTTCTCCAGTTATCAGATTTAATAAAGTTGGCTTAATGGTCACCAGTATCACAGACTGTCATTAGCATTATCAAACAAAAATCTGTAAATCTTCATATTAATCTACAGATCATAATGCTGAGCATAATAATGATTTCCTGATCCAGCCAGACACTCCCATATACAAGCATGAAATTTAAGCATGTAAAGTAAGAGAACAGCGAGGTGTTCCCAAAGTAGTTAAGTTATGCTACATTTCAGTTTTGGCCAATCAATGTGGGAGCACTTTCAGGTCTGACCCACTAAACATTTCCAGGGCAATTCTTTACTCTTCCCAATTCTGCTATCAGGGTACAGAAGATACAGCAGATGACTCCTACATCTCAAGTTAGGACAGAGCTGTAAGATAAATATACCCTTAGATGGTATTCAAAACACCCTCACTAAACCATTGGATCAGAGAAAAAAAATCAAATTTACTGGGTTAAGACACTGACATTGGAAGAATTAGCTTGCCTAACTATGGAATCTATTAAGCACAGAATGTTTGTTTTCTCTTACCATAGCCTGAAGATCTACTTGGGGATTCCAATCTGAATCATACAAAATTACTACATCAGCAGTTGCAAGATTGATGCCAAGACCACCAGCACGCGTACTTAACATGAAAACAAACTTTGAGCTATTTGGTTCATTGTATGCATTGATGGAATCCTATGGATATAAAATAAAGTCAGAATCAGAAAATTGTATTATCTGATGTTTTTTTCTCTCCTTCCCAGAATTTCACTCACTTGTCTCTCATCATGGGGTGTCTGCCCATCCAACCTGCAGTACTCATAATTTCTCCACATACAATAATCTTCCAAAATGTCCAATACTCTGGTCATTTGACTGAAGATTAGTACTCGTGACCCTGTTAGAAAATATAATAGCCTGCTATTAAAGGCTTCAATAGTAGAAAAATCTATTCCAAAAGTTAAAGCTAAACAAAACTAACATATTACACCTTAATTTCAAGTTATCTACTTGGTTTCAGGTAAAAAATGACATGATTAACTATTCAAATCAGTAATTTCTTACCTCTTTTCCATCATGACACAAACAGAAAGGATAATATTTGGTTAATGCACTAAGGCAATCAAAAAGGCTATCTCTCTCCAGTTTGGGAGATCTTGCCATCCCAAAGCCTGAGAGAATCATTAGCTTGTTACCTCACAGATACTTAAAATAATCTTCCACTAATCAACAACAATTCTTCCATTCACAAAGCCTCCATATTCCACAATGGACACCAAATATCCCTGATCTCATTCYAGTTCCAATCAAAGGACCATAAACTTATGCCTCTTATCTACACTTAAATCCTTCTACTTATCTACCATGTCTCAAATTATGTGGCTGCCTATCATCTCTGCAATCTTTGTGACATTCCTCATCTTTAAGGAACATCCTTAAGAGCTACATAATGAATAATTTGCTTCAAATAATCTATAAAGAGTAGGTATATCATAGATAAAACAAGTTTTACATAGGTGTTAACTGCTAAAGCTGGCTTCACACTAAGTTCTCAATATTCATGTAATTTCGATATACCAATATAAATACCAGAGATACACATCTATTTTTGTATTTACAAAATCAGCATACTACAGATAAAAATGCTGAGTCTATGTAAACTATATTTGATTAAATTTTTAAAACCAAATAATTGAAAAACAATACCATGACACCACTATGTAACAAAGGATCTGGGATCTGTGTAGGGATGGAAGGAGAATTTCTAATACTTTAAGATTAAAAAGCTGAAATTTCTAGGAAAGCATATATAAAATGGAAACTCAACTGGGCATGGTGGCTCAAGAGGCTGAGGCAGAAGGATCAGGAGTTCAAAGCCAGCCTCAGCAACTTCATGAGGCCCTAAGCAACTCAGGGACACCCTGTCTCTAAATAAAGTATTAAAAAGGGCTGGGGATATGGCTTAGTGACTAAGTGTCTCTGGATTCCATCCCCATTACCCCCGCCCCCCAAAAAGAAACTCACCCAAATCCAGGAATTGTTTCTGCCTCTACTACTTTATTACCAGCTAAGAGACTTAAGGCTTACTAGGAAGTGAGGGGAACCTCAGATAATAATGGACAGAAAATTTTAGAAAAGTGTCAGAGCTGTCATTTCAAAAGTGTATTGTTCCCTTCGTTTTAACACTAGCATTTTAAGTTTCCATTATTTCTCAATTTGATGCAAGTAACAATACCTTGTTCTTTTAATTTAGGAAGCAACTTGTCTAATACCACCATTTTGCCACTATTGGTAACTAGATGCATATCTGTTGTATAAGGTGGACCAGGTTCAGCTCCATCAAAGAGATACGGATGATTGCAGCATTTCCTCAACTGCATCAGGATGTTCAATAACCTCATCTTGTCCATCTTCCCTGCTGAGTTTAGTATATCTATATCCTTCATTAATATCCGAGTATACCTATTGAAAAGAAAAGTATTTTTAAGGACTCAAATATTCCCTGACTAAACCCTGCCACTTTACATACTCCCATTCCCCAACTCAACTCTGAAATACCTGTAAGAAACAAGTCATCAACTTCTAAGGTATGGTTTAGAATCTATCATCTGAAATCTCTTTTCTGCTTTTTCTTTATAGCCCATAGTGTGCTACTGTCTATACTTTATGCATTGGATTTTGAGGACATCATTATTTTAAAAATACAAAATGGTCTCCTTGGATGGGATTAAATATAGCAATATAATACAACATTTTTGAGTAATTATAATTTTGAAACATAATTTTAGTTTCTAGTCTTGCAACAGAAAGTACCATTACTCATTTATAGTTATGCACTACATAATGATGTTTCAGTGAGCACAGGCAGCAGTCCCATGAAATTACATCATCTAGTGAGTTCAAAGCTTTGGGCAAGTACACTCTATATGATATGTACAAAACAAAATCACCTAAACCACATTTCTCAGAACTTATCTTGACATTAAGTGATGCACAACTGCCTCACCATGTAGCTAGTACAGCATTTGAGTAGAACCCTAATCTGAGAAGGAAGAAACATGAGAGGTAAGGCAGGAGGATGAAAATGATATGAATACAATGTGATTTAAACATCTGCTTAAACACATAGGGAGAGGGAGATATGAGATCTATCAATCTACAGCCACAGGCTAAGGCAAATTACTAAAAAAGCCATGAATGCATACACAGAATTTCAGTTTACTGAAAGAATAAGTAAACACTGAAGTTTCAGTGAAACTTTGAATCCCTTGAGCAAATAACTTAAGAAACCTAMGGAATCTGTTTAACCTCCATCCTGGAGCATAAAAACTACTCAAGGTAAAGTTCATCATCATTCTGATTGAAACAAAGTTCACTCATGTTTAACTAAAAAAAATACTTGCCTTTTGTTTGCACTGACTCATGTGTTAGTTCTATAGGATATATACAAGACAAGCCTAATATCTTCACTACTTTGTAATAGCCTTTCAAAAGTGTTCAGGACACTGAGGATAGCTCACTTTCTACATGGACCTCTCTTTCTCAGAGAGCATGCTCAGATCTCTATATATCCCTTTAGCCTTTTTGCTACTCCAATATTTTGCAAATATGTTATCGAATACATCTGAAATATGGTAAGACTAGYAAAGAGGGCAGCTCTTATTTCCCTCCTTTGAACACAACTTAATATTAACATATGCTAAAGGAAGACTATCTTTTTCTATAGCCATTTCACACTGTTGAATTCATGTTGTATGTTCTACTTATAATAAAAAAAAAGATTTCATACATCTATAAAACTTTAAAAAATGAGGAAAAATATATTTTTTTAAATTAACTAAGGTCTTCAACTTTTAATACTGCCCTATACAAATATGTAAAAATAGCTATCAGGTATCATCATCATCATTTCTCAAAAGGACATTTTATTCTGCCTAAAATAAAACTTTGGTTCAGAATAGTGTTTTAAATACATGGAGTCTTATGGGATAAAAGAAAGCATGTAAGTTTTATATGTCTATAATCTACAATTTCACCAGAGGCTAGCTAGCCAAAATCCATGATCCAATTACTTATTAATCACCAAGTTAACCAACTCTTATGTCTCCCACTTGCACCACCCTACTCTCCTCTTAAAAACCAAAGTAGAGGATTAGGGTTGTGGCTCAGAAGTACAGTGCTTGCCTACCATGTGTGAGACACTGGGTTCAATTCTCAGCACCACATATAAATACATAAATAAAAATAAAGGTCCTCAACAATTAAAAAAAAAAATCCCAAAGTAGAGGGTTTACAATGTATTGTTGTTTAAGTCCCAAATTTAAAGTCTCAGTTCATAAAAAATGAATTTACTATGCTTCATCGTGATTCTCTCAACTGTACTTCAAGATTTTATATGATATATATGCTGAGCGAGCCTCTTTTCAAGATGAGTTCAATCCAGCAAACAACAATTCCATGAAGGCACAAATTAGTAAAACAAAATACTATATAAATGAAATTTTGAGAACAGTGATATCAAGTATCTTAGAAAACATACCATTCCCTTTGCATTTTGCTGAGACCCACATAGATTTTCACTTCCTTCTTGGGAGGCAAACTCTTTTCAACATCAGCCTTAATCCGACGAAGGAGGAATGGACGCAAAACCTTAGAAAAAGCAAAGAGAAACAGAGATGACCTTACCTGTAATACTAGTATTTTTTCAAAATCTTAAAATCACCTATTAAAAAGATGGTGGAAGGAGATGGACATCATTACCCTAGGTACATGTAAGACTGCACATAGGGTGTGACACTACATCAGGCTACAACCAGAGAAATGAAAAGTTCTGCTGCAATTGTGTACAATGAATCAAAATGCATTTTGCTGTCATATGTACCTAGTTAAAATAAATTTAAAAGAACAAAAATCACCTATTAAATATAGACTAATGTCTTTACCAACATTTAGTCTGCTCAAATATCAAATGATTCTTAGGACTTTTCCATTCAAACTATATATAATTTATCACTACCTAAGTTCCTGAAGGGTAATAATAGAATTTTGTTATTTAACCAACATACAATTACACTCATAAAACACTAAAAACRGTAGTACATTTTAAAGATGTTGTTTTCTACAGTGACTGCCTTCCAGATTTAAAACTAGTTACTTGTATCTTTTTCTGCAGCCACTTCACACTGCGAAGTACGGCCTTTCAGATTTCATACGTTCATAAAACTTTTTAAAAATAAAGAAAAATATTTAAAAAATTAACAAGATCTTAAACTTTTTAATTTTGCCCTTATACAGTGCTTAAAATTTGGGAGGTCCACACTGAATTCTTTATGAATAGCTTYTAAATTTATTATCCTAATCTATGGAAGCAACCTATATGCAGGGTATACAAATCATGAGTGTACAGTTCAATTAATTTTCATCAAGTAAATATATTAGAAAGGTCAGGTCACAGGGGAAGGGGCGCAGAGCATGACTGTGCTTTCCAGGGGACATTGGCAATGTTTAGGGACACTTTTTCATTGTTACATCTAGAGGCATACTATTACTGGCATCTAATGAGGAGGAGACATGTCAAGGGTGTTATATTAGGCATACTAAAATACACAGAGCAACCTTCTCTCCCCTACCCCTCCAATTCCCCATCCCCAAAGAATTATTCACACCAAAATGTGAAAACAAGTTCAAAGGTGACAGGTCACAAGGGGCTTTCCACAACATGTTTACAAGGTCCTGCTTTCTCCTGCTCACTAGGTATGTACCTTTCTTTATCTCAGATTTGTTAAGAGGAAATTTCTTTACCTACCAACTTTCACTTGTGCATTGTCCTAGAACGGAACAAAGCTACACATCAAAACAAAAACCACAATACCAGCTCTGCTCACACAGTGCAATATTAGTTGACTTATATAATTTGTCACTAGAATTCCAAACAACAGATGATCATTTGTCTTTTCAGAAGTAACTTATTAGATTCTATAGAATTTAAATGGGACTAAGCTTTAAAAGTAGTCTACATTGGTCATTAAGTAATGCTTTTTCCCTCATTATACCTTTTTTTAACTGCAATTACTTTTTCCCTTCATTAAGTTAAAATCCCATCCTAGGTTCCAACACTAAGCCACTACACATCACTCCATATCCCCATTATAAAATCAAATAAGATCCAAACAGATTTGATTCTATAGCCATTATGCTTTTGTTAACTAGAATAYAATCTAATTTTAATCTTTATCATTTCTTCTCATTAGAAATATGCTTAACACTACTCCAAAATACTTACCATATGAAGCCTCTCAACTAGCTTTTGATCCCCAAGACAGTTGTTTGTATCAAACCAGGAATCAAAGTCCTAGATTAACAAATAAAACAAATCTTAAGGTTAGAGACAGTGTGAACAACAAAATTCCAATAATCCCAGATAAAACAATAATTTCTAGAATTAGTATAATATTTGAGTTGTGATCTACTAAAACCATTAAGTTCAAGTCCATATTTTTTTCTTTTTTCTTGGTACTGGGAATTGAACCCAGAGGCACTTTACCACTAAGTCCCATCCCCAGGCCTTTTAAAATTTTTTTATTTTAAGACAGGATCTCATTAAGAGATCCTGTTAAGAGGAAATTTCTTATTGGCATCTAATTTGCTTTAGGGCTTTTGCTAAGTCACTGAGGCTGGGTTTGAACTTGCAATCTTCTTGCCTCAGCCTCCCAAGCTGGAAGGATTACAGGTGTGCACCTACRTGCCTAGCTGCTACCATCATTTCTTAATGACTTAAGATAAATATTATGACTTAAAGATAAATATTAAGTTCTGCTTATTAGAATATCACATAACAAAGTTAGGCAGATTTTGTCATATTTGAAAGTCATGTCTGAGCCTTAAAACATAAGCAATGAGATACACAAATTCACCTGGGAATGCTTAAAGCAGCACCCTGAAAATACAGTCAACCCAGACATAATCCTTCAAACAAAGTCAGACCAACATGACTATCAACTAGGATCGTCATGCCAATGGCAACCTATGCCAATGCACACAAAGAAAACAATAATTTGAAATGAGACTAAAACCAAAAGGCTCAAAAATAAATTCTAAGAATGCACAGACAACTAATAGGTAAACACCAGGTTTAACTACATAAAAGCATGAGAAATTAATGACTGCCTCAAGCAGCACTAAAAGGCAGGCCAATTCTATTATAAAAACACATAAGCATTAAACAAAACATAATTATTAACCAGAAAACAATTAGAAATACTTACATCAGCTGAATTAAAGACATCAGGCAACAAAAAATTAAGAAGTGACCAGAGCTCATGCAAGTTGTTCTGAAGAGGTGTTCCAGTTAGTAATAGTCGATTTGTAGTCTTGAATTCCCTCACTATTTCTGATAACTGAAAGAACCAATCACATCATCAGAATATTTGTAATATGGATTAAATTCTCAGACACAATGTTCAGAATATCAAAATTACCTTGGATTTTTCATTTTTGATCCTGTGAGCTTCATCTATAACTAAGTATCTCCAGTTAAATTTTTTGAATACAGACTTCTCTTTAATAAGCATTTCATAAGATGTTACACAAACATCCCATTCTCCTGGTAACAAAACATCTCTGACAAAAGCAGCCTGTGYAGCAAAATTAAAAAATAACAACGTTCAGAAATCAATTATACATTAAACTTCTTGATGATAAGTAATCTAATCCATAAAAGGGAGTGGGAATATTAAAAAGGGATAGAGTTGCTGTATCATGTAAACATTCAGAACTAGCTTTCCTACCACTGAAATAATCAGTCATCATTTAGATTTCAGAATCATTAGGTTTAAAAAAAAAAGACAAGGCTGATGAATACAAACTTCAAAAGGTCTTCGTTCTACAATTCCACTAAGTCCTGGAATACTTAGGAGACAAGTTTTTAATATGAAGAAAGGAAGACTGAAGGACTATTTGCAGTAAACATGTTCATTCCCCTCTTCAGATTCATAAATGTATTAACACATTGCTATTTTTACTCTCATTTCACAAGTAAGAAAACTAAAGCAAAGAATGGTTAAGTAAGTCCCAAACAAAAAGCAATCTGGTAACTTAACATAACCCTTTGGTTACCTATAAGGGAAAAAAAGCAATTCACACTCATCACTGAGATAAAGGAAGGGAAAACAAAGTAAGCACAAAGTCATTTAATGCAGTATGAATAAGTTTCCAAATCTGACCTTTACATTCTTCATGGTGTCATTATTACCACGTCTTCTTCCCTATACTATTATCACTATACACTAACCTAAAAATCTGGTTCCTTAAATTTCCAATTGCCTCTCACATTCAAAACCGTTTGTTTTTAAAAACAAAATACTGCTGAAGGGCATAGGCTTTGATTTTATACAATCACCCTCCAAAATRTGAGGAAAACCATATTCTCAGTCTCTAATGCCTTCTCTCTGGGAAAAATTTTTTAACTATCTAGACAATATTACATTTATAAATTACTAATATTTCTGAAGACCCTTTCTCTTTTATCTTTCCTCCAGCAATTCCTGACCCCAAGCCTGAATTCAAACTCCTTTAATATGAAAAATGTAATGAAATACTAAAATCTTACTCTTTGTTCTTTATCTCCTATCAAACAAACAGACCGAAGTGTTGGTACCCATCTCTTGAATTCACTCATCCAGTTATGTAATGTAGACTTAGGAACCAAAACCATATGAGGACCAGGAATGTTTCTATAATGTTTCATGTAGCCAAGAAGAGAAATTGTTTGAAGAGTCTTTCCCAGGCCCTGAAAGAGTTCAGAGTAATCATAAAACAATAAAAAACAAACACAGTGTTCCATATTTATACTGCCCAACATATACAGAACATTTAAAAGAAATGCTATATGTTTATGATAGCTAACATATAACAAAAACTTAATATCTGAAAGCTCACAGTGTTATATCACATAATTTTCACAAGTCTATGACAGAGGTATTATCATCACCCCAGTGAGGCTCAGAAAATGTGATTCTCCCCAGATCATGTAGCACAGATAGAACCAAAACACTTTTCCTTTGACACTATACTTTCTTCAACCAATTAAGTATTTTAGCCCCACGGTAATAAGGAATCTTTTTAAAACCTTTATTATATAATTAATAGTAGTAAACAAGAGATAAAATCTTTTATGAAACAAAACTGTACAAGCTGCCATTCTAGAAAACAAAATTAATATTTACAGGTGATAAACATTTAATGACCTCAGTTTATTTTTCATAAAAATGAAGGGAAATGGTTACACAATGGTACTACAAAAGTTTTTTTAAAAGTTTCACAAAATGTGTTATTTTTAAATCTACTTTCATAGATAATTCCTCACAAGTGAAGACTTCACTAATGCAACTATAAAATAGTCTGAAGGAAAATTAGTTACTAAAAATTCCAGACTGCCATCAACAAAACATGCTGTATAAATTAAACTTTCTATAAAATAAGTTACAAAACATGCCTTCAATCAAAACTACCAATCACATACCATTTCATCTGCAAGGATACCATTGATGCCATTTTCATACAAAGAAATAAGCCAATTCAGTCCTCGGACCTGATAATCTCTCAATTTACCCCATTTTACATCTGAGAACAAGAGAAAACCCAAGGTTACATTTTAAAGGCAGGAATACAAAGTAGCCCCCTTCATCTGATACCCAGAGCTTTAACTATGGCCTACATTTGCCTACTAATTTTGCTTTCTTTTCTAGGATATTCTTACATGAATTCTGCAAATCCCAAATCATTAGAGGTAGCTGTTGGAGTGTGCAATGGAGTAGGAGCACGAATGATGTGAAAGATAACCAAGTCCTGGTAACATGATTGGGCATTAGAGTATTCATCCAAATCATTAAATTTCTGTTCTTCATATATTGGTCCTAGACTCTTTAACCTCTTTCTCTTTCTAACCTTACCAAAAACATTTGTGATCAAACGCTTTCATCTTTCATAAAGATCAGACACAGATTCTCTGGAGATTTTATTTTCCTCCTAGTAAAAATGAGATGATAGGAAATTCCTTTTCCTTCACCATTTCTCCTAAGCTACTTTCCCAATACATCTTAGACTAATAATACTCTTTCAGGATATATACATTACTTATTTTGCCTGCCAAGTCAAATCACTGCTTAAGATGAAAAATAACCAGTGCTAGTTACAATGTAACAATGTGAGACAAAAATAATGCAAAATTTCCTTTCCCCCTATGCCATATATCTGGCTCTGGCCTCACTTCATTGGGATAGAAATAGACACCAGGTGCTAAGTAAAAAAAAAAAAAAAAAAAAAAGGAAGCCTGAAAGTGTACACCTTAAACCAATTGCTGAATTTCTAACTAGATGAGTCCAGCTGAAATTCAATTAGATAAGAGTTCACGTAAATAAAGCAGCATTAGAGGAGGTTTGGAGGGGTGTGGGGTGGGGTGGATGCTAGGCTTCAAGAGAATGTGTAAGTCTCTAATGCCAACAGTCAAGGAAAAAAGACTATACAAACCTATTTAAATACTCTTCCTTTYAGAAAACCACTGAAAACAAATATATGTCAAAAAAAATTAAAGCTACTATAACAGCATGAGATGAGTAAGCAAAATTCTTCATGAATTTTGTTTTCTTTTTACAAATTAGTTTTCTTATCCAGAACAGGTAAAAGGCAAAATCATACCTACTTTTACATGTATCTTAAAACAATAATAAACTCAATGGCATTTTATACACCTCTGAAATACAATATCTATTATATAACACATTACTACCTCCGTTTAAAAAAAAAATCTGAAACTTATTCACAACCAATAAATATATAAGATTATGAAAAAAGTCCCTGTACAAATTATAGCTAAGACAAATCCAAAACATTAACCGAAGGATGTCTCAAAGTGAGATCTTTCAAAAAAATCAAGTAATTTAAGTATGTTTAACATACATGATGGAGAGTCTTCAAATCGAGTGCAAACATTGGTTGCTTTGGAGCTTTCTGTTAACAGTTCTTCATCCTCCTCTTGCTCTGTTCTCCGATGTCGGTAGCTATCAAATGAAAATAAAATCAAATGATTTGAGTTTTGGCTTTAACTACCAGCTACAATTCAGCACAGTAAGTCAAGTGGCTGGCCTCAAGAGTCCACAGTAATTTTTAATTAAAAAAAATTAAATAAAAATAAAATGAAGGACAAAACAATTGCTTCCACATCTTAACAGGATGAATTGCAAAGAAACTGTGGCTATATCTAAATTATAACTGTTTAGGGAATATCTTTTCACTGATTGTATAAATACTGCATTTGAGTATTTTACATTCCTTGGTTACATCAGTTTATGTTATCAATTTATAGAAGTAGTTTGTTATATTTTTGGTACAGATACAACCAATGTCACTTTTGGTTATTAAAACTCTGAGGGTGTGGAATCAGAACAAGCTTCCAAATCCTCCTGATTTTCTCTTCATTGTGAGGTTCTGCTAATCTGTGAGATTACATGAATTCCTAAAACATCAGATACCCATATTTATGCTTCAGAAGAAAAATTAGTCTCATGGCAAATATCAAATTTGGGGGAGAGGTGTTACTGCCATTTCCTAGTTGCTGTGTCTCAAATCTTACAGCCTAAAAAAAAAAAATCAATTTTGACATCTCTATCATTTAGAAAAGAACTCACACAGAATAAAATAGGCATGGTTATGGAATTTTTGTGCTTTCCTTTTTTCCTTATTATTAAAGTACAATGAACTCACAAAAAATAAAGAAATAATAATAATTTTTCATAGGCATCTAAGTTAACCTAGAAAGTGCTTGCCTGGCATTCACAAGGCCCTGAGTTCAATGTCCAGCACCACACACACAAACACACACACACAAGTGAATAGTAAAAAGTTACTAGTAAATATAAATCTAAAATGTTTTACAGTTATCTAAAATATACAAAAGCTGAAAATACCATATATTAACTACAACTTCATAAGCTCAAATTGCTTCACCTCTATAGAGCTGAAGTGAATAAAACCACTTTCTTCCCAATTATGAAGCTTCCAACTTCAAGACCTTTATACTTTCAGTAAATATCTTGATCTAATTTAGAAAGCAGATTATGGCCCTACTGAGACCTCTAAATCATCTTCCCCAATAACACTATTTAATGAGCAAATYGAATTGAATAACTCATTATATATTTTCAGGGGGGCTACCTTTATCTTTTAGGTTAGTGATAGAAGGGTTTCTTTAATAATATTAATATCCCATAAAAGTATTTGTTATAGTAGTTCCCATTTCCAGTATATGACACTAATATATTTAAGTAGATATAAACTTCAATTCTAAAACAATTTAAATACATCTGATATACAAAGTTGACTTTGTGAATTTAACATTGATAAATTTTTAATTTCTTCTTTTAGATAATCTTATATATTACAATTACTGATCACATTTTTTTCCCAGTGGAAACTGCAGCCATTACAGGGAGTCAAGATGCCCTAAATCTATTAATTATTACTAATTAAACATCCTAAGTTATCCAACCAGCACAAAAATTCTGAATCTGATAAATTCAACATGTATACTTATTTTCAATCACCACCAAACGATGGCATACAACTTGACACTTCAACTTTTAGAGGAAGATAACTGTTTAACAAAAATGCTAAACAAACTTCTGTGGCATACATTATTACAATATTCCACACACCAGCACAAACTTCACATAAAACTAATACCCTCAAGGCGTGTATATGGTTTTGGGGATGAGCATAAGCAGTTCAGATCCAAGTTCAAGCCTGGATTATTCTAAGTACTTCTATGTGATGCTAAATAGGATACTTATGCATTTGTACCCTCTGTAAGAAACAACATTAATAWCTGACTTCCCTATTCAATATAACTGCTGCAATCCATAAACTATATAATGCTATAAAAAATAAGACACCATGCAGCATTTTAAAATACTTACATTTACGGCTACATCCTACCAAGCCAATGGGGCCAAATACACAATTGTATTAACTTTTTTTTTTTAAATAAAGTAGCTTTATGCTTCTAATGAAAACCATCGGTAATAAACAAGGTTGAATTATGAAGTACAAACTATTACTCACTCGCCAACTGAGAGCAAGTTCTGTTTCTCATCCTTTTTTATTCGTGGGCGCCCTGGTTTCATCTTCAAAGGTGAGGTTGGAGTCTTCTGAGCAGCAGGCTGAATGAAATGTGCAAACAACTCTGTTTGCTTTAATAAATATTCAAATCTATTTGCACGGTCAGTTTGCTGCAAAAAAGTTTAAGGTACATTTCATCAAAACTTTGGAAATCAGTTCAATAAGCCTCCATATTATGAATTCAGGAATAAAAAGAAACTACTGACACATGCAACATGAGTCTTAAAATTTGCACTTTGTCAAGGGAAGACAAAACACAAGTCTACAGTATATGATTCCACTTACAGTGTATGAAATACTAACTACAGACACAAAGCAGATGAAAAGTGGCAAGAGGTTGGGGCAGGAACTGCCTACAGAGGGACAGAAGCTTTTAACAGGATGGAAAGTATGCTACATCATGATTGTATTGTTATTTATGTGACTACATATACCTGCCAAAACTCAAAATCATTTTATGTATGTTATACTTTAAAATAGTTGACAAAAAAATATTTTTAAAGATGTTAAAAGGCATTGTGCATTACAAGTGAATTTATTCAAAAGTTGGAGAAAAGGCACTGGTCATTCATCAGTTAGGCTGGTGTCAAATTTTAAAAAGATATCAGGCTTAAAAACCATGAAATATTCATTAACTTAATGTAGTTCAACACTATTCCTGCCTTTCATATCTGCCATCTGCCCCTTTGAATGTTTCCTATTACCACACCAAAAGAATGAAAATATGTATAAACCAAAAAAAGGGTAAGATCCTTGAGAAGTTTTCATAAAAAAAAAAATTATAAAATCTCAAGATGTTAGGCAACCAGACTTTAGACAGGACAGTTGTTTAAACAAAGAGAAACTAGACAACTTCAACAGATAAACCAGTTACCCAACAATGCTGCCATAAAATGTTTAAAATGTCAGTTTTAGAGATTTACAAAAAGACCCACCAAAGCAAACACTGAAGGTATCCAAACACCATTTATGTTATAAAAACCACATACTTTAAAAGGGAAAACRGTTATCTTAAAAATCACAATAGTGTAAAAACTGAAGCTAAATTTGCCATCAGGAAGTGGTAAAAGTGTTTCAGTGGGTCATAGTAACAGTCATAGAAGCAACCTGATATGCACAATTAGAACAGGCTGTCAACATGTTCCTCCCTGGCAACATCCTATAAATGATGTGCCTTAGTTTATGCTTTTCAAGATTACAAACCATTTCAAGTACGGAACTAAGATATAAGTATGTGCACACTTACACAAAATTATATATAATAAAAGCCAATAACATATAACTGAAAATAGTCTACTCACAATTACTGTAATTATGTTTGAGATCAAAATATATAACCTTTGAAAACAAATCCATAGGTTAAATTCTAGACATGCAAGGTAAAAGCTATTGTATAGTATTCAAAATTTATCAAGTCACTATTATTGTCCCGATTATTAGGGGGAAAACTAGGCACCTTGCTGCTTAAGGGAATGAACAGGCTAAAATGAAAATAATTTTGAGATCCTAAAAGGTTAAAAGTGGTAAAAAGGAAAAAAAAAATTGATCCTAAAATGCAGCAACTATTAATACAGTAAAATTAGGGAATTGAATGAACTCAATGAAGACTATATTGAACAACCATGGACCAGCTTTTTTCTGAGACAGAAAAAAACAAGGCATCAGAGACTATATATATGTTTGAAAATACACAGTAAATAAGATAAGTATGATTTTGTGTGTGTAGGAAGCCTGAAAATTAGGGTTAGCAGAAATAGAGTAGAAAGATACATCCAAAAACTTAGGGGGAAAGAGGGTACAGCCAAGTCAAGTTTTAGGTACTAAAAGCCCAAGAATAAAAACCATAAATCTGCAGGGCATGGTGGCGCACACCTGTAATCCCAGTGGCTCAGGAGGCTGAGGCAGGAGGACTGAGTTCAAAGCCAGCCTCAGTAACTTAGTGAGGCCCTAAGCAACTCAGTGAGACCCTGTCTCTAAATAAAATATAAAAAAGGGCTAGGGATATGGCTCAATGGTTAAGCGCCTCTGGGTACCCCCAATACCTCCCCCGCAAAAACAAACAAAGTTATTCTGTCTTTGGAAGTAGTGCTCAGAATCCTAGATTCAAGAATGAAGAGTAAATAATGGGGACTTACCCATGCTATGGTTAAGAACTAGCAGATGACATGGGAGTTTGTTTAGAAGAAAACTATTCAAAGGAAAATCATGTCACAAATGTAATGAAGCTTGAAAACTGAAAAACTTAAGAGG